TCAACCTTGTGCCACATCTAAGTTACGCTTGGAAAATCACTATAAAATAATTATGAGGAATTTTGTAACTATTTACACTGTTGTCATTTTTTGGACTTTTGTTCCCTTCTTAAATGTCATATTCACAATGTTTTAGCAGTTGTAGACTCTAGCCTTCTTCAGGTGACATACATTACAATTTCCAACCAAACCCTTTATTTCCTCCCCTGGGGTAGAGTGTTCTAGTTCCACATGCCATGCCTTTTCTGGACATCTTAGTTTCAGTTATTTTGTGAATATGACAATAAAGATGAGGACAACAGCCCAAACAATATCAATAGTGTAAATAGTTACAATACCACATCTCAGAAATATAGATAGGAATTTTGTAATTACTAACATTTTGTTTAAAATAAAGTTATGCCAAATGCATTAAGCTGCATTGTTTGACATTAATATATTCTTTTTGCTAAATCATCCTGGGTATGACAATAAACAACATCTGGCAGTAAGCTCTGATTGGGAGGTTTTGAGGAGCATGAAAGCACCTCTTAATTGCTGTTGTTCCTAGGCCCGCCCTAACCTGGGGTGGTAGCATCTGTTAGTGTCCCAGCTATGGGCAAATAGTTAACCCTCAAAATGGGGTCAAAATACTATGAAAATATAAAAATAGATTTTTATAGTAAAAATACCAGCAATACATTTTTGAAAAACATAACATAACTTCTCAGGCCCTTTTCTACAAATATTTTCTTAGCTATTGTTCTGATGAGTTTTTCTCTTCATGGATTTAAGTGCAGTACTGTTATAACAATTCATGAACAGCAGGAAGATGAGACGGTGATAACCTTAAGAAAGGCTTATTCAACAAAAGAAACAACACTACTGGTGTATCCCCACATCAGTTCCTCTCCCCAAAACCTAGTAGAATATATAAAAGAAAAGGTATGTTACTTTGCATACAACAATTTACATACAAGGATGAAGGCAGTATTACACTAGGTCTCATAATTTTACCGTTCAAAATGCTGAACATAACCATAAGTTCTATTCTAATAGTTTCATCTCTCGCACTTCTCATTTGTAAAACTATCTTCTAGTGCCTTGCTTTCCTGACAACTATAATTTTCAAAAATTTAAATGCAATGTCAATCACCATTTTCTGTCTCCCTAAAACTTGTTCTCTTATTGTCCTTTCTCAAAATTTTTGCATTCTCTTCCACCCCCACTTTGCATCTTAGTGACAGTAACACCTTGCTTGGGGTGAAATTGTTATAGACAAGCGTATGGTTGCAAGAAAGAAATACGACAACAGTAGAAATAGATTTACATGGTTTATTTCAACAGGAACATGAGGGTTTGGGACAGCTACCTTGGTGTGGTAAAGTTCATAAGCCTGCTTTCAGATCTAGGTTGATCTTTCATAGTGGTTCACACATGTTGATGGTGGTTGATGCTTCCCTGCTTTCAGCTGTTGAACGCTCGGCCTGACTGTAACAGGTCTCCTTTGTGGCCACCTGTTGACTGGCTGTTGAACTTCTGTGTGACCCCTTTTATAGTGTTTTTTTTATGGCTTAACAAGCTCAAAAAACGAAGCGAGTATAATTAGGAGGGAAGCATTTTTATTGGACGAAAAAATAGAGCACTTTAAATATTATTTTATTTTTCGACCGGAACACGTGTGTTGGGAACATTTGTGAAGAAAGATAATGGTCATTTTGTGACGGGGCTTTGTCCCGTTTACATCCGGTTCTTGCTCTGGAGTATTTGCCTGTAAATCAGCCGAGATATGTCTTATTTTATTTTATAACAAAATGATTAATAAAGAAGATGAGAACATGATTCCAACTGTATATAGTTCTCATCCAAGAAAAGAAATTCTTGTTCATTTTCAAGGCATGAAACCCAGACTTTTCACCACTGAACCTTATTGCAGCATGTGTCACTGTCACTTCGATGGTGCACTAGTACACATGTGACTAAATTACCAGATGGTCAAAGACTTCAACAATTTTATAAGAATACCAAAGCCAAAATCAGCAGCATTCTTCAGGGCATTACAATTTTGTTATCTGTCAGTGTATAAATAATAGCTGATAATCTTAAAGACAATTCCTATTTATTTTTCTGCATGCGATTGGATATTCTTCTCTGTCACTGTGCTGAACAACTCCTTTCCCCACAAACTCAATTCCAAGTGAATTTGATTCAATTCGATAGGACAACTTGGGGGCAACCATTTGTGAAATTTTCTTCCCAAGGTAGAGACATTTTATTGCATTAGATTGTTGTTGTGGTTGGAGGATAAATTTATCAGCCCAGGCCAACGATAAATTAAAACGACAATATCATTGCATTCTTTTTTGGAGGAAAACACTTGAGGCTTTGTATGTTACCTATTCATTTATTATTTTATTTGCATGTGTGCATGTGGATATTTTTACCTTCCATTAAATCAAGTAAATATTATTTAGTAACTAAAGCAGATATCAATCATCCCAAAGAAATAAAAAAAATAAAACACTGATGAAAATTTTAAATGGTTATGATTTGAATATTTTATATGATGAAATATTTTCCTGCCTTTGCTTTTATTTGCCATTAAGGAAAGGATATATAATGGAAATGCTTGCATGTATGTGCAGCTAGTATCAGTACAGAGAGTGTGAATGGAATTGGCAAGCAGTGTTCAAATTCATGCCTTGGCTGTTAGTTTCACTTTTGGAAACATGTTCTTAGGAAAGGTGTGAATACATTTCTTCTACCTATCAAATTTTGGGCTAATTAACAAGATAGACTGTTAATATTCTGGTTACTTCCTTCTTGGTGAAAGGAGGATTACCTGCCCTTAGAGGAAGTTGGATCAGAAGGCAGACTGGTTGATTTGTTTTTTTATATTTTTTATGAATTATCAACCCTTTAGAAGCAAGAAGATGGGTACCACATGTTGAATGAACTACAAGTAGAAACTTGGACAATTTGATAGCAGAGTGTAGATTTTAAAAAAGTGTTAAAAAAGATTTTTCTTTTTCTATTTGCCATATCCCTTCAGGACATTGATGATCATGACTCTTCACAATTTCCTGTTCTTTGTAACTCTTAAGAGATTTTGTCTTTTTCTTACCACTCCTAAACTTTCTTCTGCCATCCATTTACTCAAGTTCAGTAGGTAGGTTATGTGTTGTTGTTTCTCTTGCCTTTAATCTGTTGTGTGTGCATAAAATTTTCCAGGCCTTCTTTCCTCATTATGTGTCTTTAAATATTTTTTTCTGATGTTAAGTGTCAGTACCCTTTTTGTTTCTATTTTCTCTAAAACTTTGTTGTTGCTCAAATATTCGGTCCACGGTATTCTCAGCATCCATATGTAAAGCCAAATTTTTGTTGCTTCAAGTCTCATCTTCATCTGTGATGAGATTGTTGAGCATTCACAGCCATATAAGAGGACTGATATTATATAAAAGCTTAGCACTCTTTTTCTTTGTTTCTAACAAAATTTTCCTGTTTCTTAATACTTTGCTTAGAACAATTTCCAGATATTTAAATTGATATATTTGTTTGATTTTGGTATCTTCAATCTGTAATTTGCATGTTAGACTGTTCGTTTTGCTAACAACCATTCATTCTCTTTTTGCAATTGATGTTTAGTCCTTTCTTCTCACTTTCCTTCACTACCTTCTGTAGGAGTTCTTGTAGTTTACTTTCTGTGTCTGCTATCAACACTGTGTCATGTGCATATCTTAATTTACTTTGTGTTAATTATACATTGACATATATTTTTTCCGTTGTATCCCAAAAGGAAAAAATAAATAACTTCATTTATGAACCCCTCCAATTTTAGAGAGTGAATAACATTACTGTAAAGAACAACAATAAAGAGTCATGCTTCCTGAAGTTTTATTGAGCTACAATATGGCACCCTGGAGATGTTTTTATAGTTACAAGTGTAGAAGAATTACAATAGAGAGGGGAGGTAACTTGAACAGATTTTATCACCACAATTACATTTAAAGGAAGAACAATTTAAAGATATGACAGTTGTTAACAGATCTTGACAAAATGAAAACAATTTTCTGCAGTTTATCTTACTCTTACCAATGTGTTCAATATTATATTAGACATTAAACACAGGAGACCATTTCACATGAAAATAGTATTACAAAAATTACCAATAAACTGGACATGCTGTTTTTGAAAAACTCAAAACACTGCGCATATTTGGCTTTTAAAGAGTCTTATGACTTTCATTGTCCATTAGGTATAACAGACATTTTTGTAAAATTTGAATATTTCTAAGATAAACTTGGGTTTTTTAATGTTCACTTGCAAGAGGGAATGCAATAATTTTTTTGCTCATGGCAGTAAATGTGTCCGATGAAAATGTGGCTTGTGCAACTTGTCAAAATATGACAAATGAAAACATGAAATTGATGATAAAAAAGAATTTTGGTGACCAACCTGCCTCAGCTGGTAATAATATTCCATCCACTAAATCCAAGCTCATATTTTTAGGTAAATATGACATGGATAACTTAAAAATTGTAATTCTACAAAACACATTCCAAAGGCAGTTATTATCATACTGATGAAAATTTTAAAAAGCTACACATAACTGTCTATGTTAATTAAAGAATCACCTCAAATGGAAACACTTGATCATACTTTTATGAGAAACTGTGACCAGTAAAATGTGACTGAAGGATTTTCTTGATACTTTAATGAATAATGAAAAAACTTTTGTAAAATATTTTCCAACACAAAATTCCAATTCAAATTGATTGATTGATTGATTAGTGGGTTATTTAAAGCCAGAAAATACTTTTAGATTTGGGTGGAGGAGATAATGATTTAGTGATACAAGGTTTACTTATTAACCCATAGCTGGGGGAAGAAGAGATGGATTCATGCATTTCCTCCGGGTATTTGCATGTAAATGAATATAATGAACCCAAGTGAAATTGGAACTCATTTCTCCAATTAACAATACTGAGCCTTTATCCATTACACCACATGTACATCCATAACTTACAGCACCTGGTATTTCCAAGTGGTCACCCATCTAGATGCTGACCTGGCTCAATGTTGCTTAACTTTGGTGATTGTATGGGAACTGGTGTTTCAACATGATGTGGTTATAAGCCTCACATTTGGAGATGAAGTAGAAGTTACTACAAATGCAAAAGTAAAATTTCCAGCAGTTATTGGCAGAAAAAATAGGTTTTGATTGAGTCATTTATTGTAAATATTCGAGGTCTTTTTTTTTTAGTAGAGCTTCTATGAAGATGGCTATATGTAGTTTGAAATTTTACAAATGATAATCTTCATGTGTTGGGTGATACAGTGGATGTAATCTGTACTTTATTGGGTACACTGCTGTATTCCTCTCACAAAGATGTTACTTCATGAACAAGCTGATTCAAATTTGCAAATTTTCTTCCTTCTTTCTTCAGAGCATAAAATGGTTAATGTGAGAAGAAAAAAAGGAAAAAACAAAGAAATTTCATTGACAATTTTCACATGCATCAAAAGAAATGTTTTGCAAATTTAAGAAAAATAAAGGATTTTGTAATGAGGAATTCCTAAAGATAATGCAGGAATGTTGTGACTCTTGAGATGTTTGCATGAAATATAAACATCCACCATTACATCCTGTTATGGGTTTGCCTTTGGCTGATAAAGTGAACCAGTTATTATGTATAGACTTGAAGGATCATGTGCATAATAATTCTTGGATTTTATACACAATTTATTCAAACAGAAATTTAATTTCCTCTAAACATCAAGATGCAATTGTCCAAGGCATTTTCCTAATGTGGATAGCACATTTTGATGCACCTAAAAACTTCTTAATTGACAAACGGGGTTGAATTCTCTAATGACAATTCAGGGAGATGAATGAGAAATTGAATAGCAAAACTTTAACAATAGCAGGTGAATGGTATTTTGGAATGGCAAAACCAAATATTAACAGTGGCATTCCATAAAACTTTATCAGATATCAATTGCAAACACAAAGTTTCATTTGCATGGACAGTAAATGCTAAGAAATTGCAAAACAGTTGTGGTGGATGTAGTTCAAATCATTTGGCATTCATATTTACAGATTGTGACAGCTATTAAACAGATGTGATTAAATATACTTTAATGTTTAAAAAAGAGACTCTGGTTCAGTAGGAAAAGTAAACATGGCTTATTAACTGATAGGAGTTATCTCCCTTAGTATGTATAGACCAATAAGAATGATCAACTCTCTTGGATTGATAGATTGCGATAGCTATTAGGGAGATGTGATTACATATACTTTAATGTTTAAAAAAAATTATTCAGTATTATTATTGTTTAGGTAATAAGCATTATAACATAGCACAAATTGTGGAAAAAGGAATTTTTGACAATATACGCATTACGAAATTCTTGTACATGTAGTTATGGATAATATTATACATTAATTACTAATTTTTTAAATTAATAACTATTTGTGCTCAGTTGTTGACATTAATAGCTATCTGCTGATGTGTTAAAATTTTGGAATAATGCAATAATAAAAATTTAAATTTCATCTCTTTCATAGATGTTACATATACTTTAATGTTTAAAAAAAATTATTTAATTCTAATTTTCCATCATTCACAGATAAAGAACTACCTGCCTTAGAGGTTTCATCATCTGATATCATTGGAATAATCAAAATATTAATCTCTTTCTATGTTGTGATCAGTTAATTCTAATTTTCCATATTTTTTCTCTGGGTTTCATCATCTGATTTATCAGAATGAAAATTTGCAAGGTGCTCCACCAAATTTTATGTGATAAAAATCACATTTAAAGATAAAAAAAATGAAAGAAAGTTAAAGGGAGATAACCACAGATTCGAAGTCAGAACATTATCAATGATAACTCTCTCTTCCAATTTGCAGAATCTAGTTACTATATTATTAACACTTGATATAATGCAAAAATATCACAATAATAAAATTGTTCAATAACTATTTATACTGTGACTCATGCATGCAATTACAAGTAATTGATAATAATATTTCAAATTTTGGCATGGAAATTTTTTGACACTTTCAAAATCTTTGTCTTTCAATCATTTTGCCTCACCTGCTGCCTTCTTCTGCTGCACCATTGAGGTACCAATGAGGATAGAGGTACCTGGAATTTAGTTAAAGCAATGAGTATGCAAACAGCATTTTAATGCAGATTAGTAATTAAATTATTTTTGTTTGGGATTAATTTATGTGTTTCCAAATCCAATATCTCCATTCCTGAAAGAATTACTCCTTTCCCAAGTCAACATACATGACTATAAAAATGTTACAAAATTACAAGAAAATGGTTAAATTCATAACCTCATCTTATTTAAAATATACGACAATATATGACACACAAATTAATCCCAAACTAAAATAATTTAATTATTAATTTCCAGCAAAAAAAAAAAAATTTCAAGAACATCACTTACTCACTTTTATTTATTTGATATTGAACTGTGTCACTTCATATCCTTTTGACTTTTCAAACAGCTTGATGAATATTCATGAGTGTTCTTAAATTTAAACATTTTGAAAAACCAATAACATTTTTGCTCTTGTATATAAATACTTGATACAAAATAAACTCCTTCCATTTGCCATGATAAATTCCTTCAGATGAAGAAATGCATTTGCCAAGTTTTCTTTTTGTCTTTATCCATCTATCTATCTATCTATCTATCTATCTATCTATATATATATATATATATATATATATATATAATACATAAAAGGTCAGAGTTCAATCAGACCAGAAAACAGTGGTATTAAAAAGTGCTCAATACATGTGTGAAAAAGATAAAATAAAAGTAAAAATAACATGTAGAGCTTTTAACTATAAAAATCAGTTGAATCTACTAACCTGGTTTCAATGATCTCTCAATGATATATTTTAAAAAAAAAATCTAATGAATGCAATAACAACCATAACAATATTTGCAACCTCTGCCAACAGGAAAAATTAGCAATAATGATATTTCCGGATCCAAAGAAGCTTTTGAAACAGAAATCCAAAGTCTTGAGTCCTTTCATAAATATTAAAAATTCCTCTTAAGTAGATATGAGGCTGGATAAAAAATAAATGTACATTTAAATTACCCCCCTACTGATACTTTTATAATACCCTTGCTTTTCATCTCTTCCCCCTTCTTCTTCTTTGTCTTCTTCTTCTTTTTCACATTCTCTTCCTCCCTTTCTATCACAACCAATATTGTGCACTTATTTATTTATTTTTTTAAAAAATAATACAGTGTTTTTAATATAGTTTTAAAAAAAATAAAACGTTGAGAGGTCATTTGATAAAAATCACCTGATGATACTGTAAGTTTGAAAGCAAGGTAGCGGATTCAATGATCTCCTGAGCATATATATATATATAGGAACATGTGAACATTTACTTATATTTACCCATTTGGTTATATTAATAAATATATATATATATATATTATCCCACACCATTTGCACTATTTGGAGTTTCATGCAAATGCAATCTTCAGGTGCTGCGTGTGTGCTGACCGTTACTAAAAATTTGAAAATATATTAGTTTAACATAACAAATTTTATAAAAAGACACCCATAAACTGGAAAGACAACATTAATAAAGAAGCCAAAGAAATAGACAGTAAACTAAAAATTGAAGAATAGAATCTGCTAGTTGCATAAACTACAAGCATTCATCATGACTATAAGGCTAACTTTCCAAACAACCCTCAATAATGAGTACCAAACATTACAAAAAACGATATTGGTAAAATCAGCAAAATGATTCTCAAAAGAAGATGCAATTACACCAATAAGGCACTATGAATCAACTAGTGGCAAAAAAAAGCTGATGCCATAAAATGGTTTAATAGCATAAAAAAGAAATATGAATTTATATTCACAAAATTTGGCATCTGTGACTTCTACCTGTCCATTACCAAGAAACTTAATGGTGGCTATAAAGCTAACTAGAAATTACTGCCCTATTAGTAATCAGGATATAAGTATCATAAAGTAGGCACAAACACTTGTACTTTTCCACATTGATTGTCTGTGGACTATGAGAAACAACCCAGAGTTCAATACTGCTATGGATGTATATGATTCTGCAGAAGCATGTAATATCATTGGAATTCTGTGGTGTCTCAGAATTTTGTTTGACATTAAGGACACTGGGATATATAGAGATGACAGTGTAATTCTCTTCCAGAAAACTAACCTTTGTAATATAGAAATTGAGAAAAGAATTTATAAATTTTTTAAGGACCATGATCTAAACATTCCCACCACCAATACAAAAGGTGATTAATTTTCTAGATGTAACATTGGACCCAAATAATGTTTATCATAAACCACACACAAAAGAACTACATAACATTATAGTCTGGAGTCCCCACTGTTTATCTTAAGGTCCTTGACAAAATCCAGTGATGGATATGCAATGTGATTGGCACCACTCCCTTACCTGACTTCCTCTCTATCATGGAGCACAAACTTTGTAATATCTCTATCATGGCATGGGAAGTTCCCTGACTTATATAAAAGCCTTAACGCTAAGAAGGCTACCAGTCCTGATAAAATACTAGTGGTTGTTCTGATGAATCTTGACAAAAAATTTAACTGCTGCTTGAAGGAGAGAGGCTTTCCAGGTCTATAAAAGGTATGGACTGTCTGTCCTGTTTTAAGAATGTGACTGAGTTCTCAATATTACCCCATCAGCCTCCTTAGGGTCATCAGCAAATTCTTTGAATCTATAATAAAAGATAAGTTTATTGATCACTTCCACAGAGACAGATAGTATAGATTTCACTCTGCTAATTCCACTGCTGATGTTTTAACTGTCATAAAATCAGTAAGGCACTATGCAATAAATTCATCATCATGGTTATCAGCTTAGATATATTAAAGGCTGATCTCTCTTCTGAACTAGCTCCAACAGCTCAATCAAAGAATAACTGGCTTGTAACATTTAATATCTCTGAAACAAAATGAGTAACATTACATCATCATTTAGCAGACTCTGAATTTTACCTATGATGATATATGGGTGTTCTCTCAAGGAGGCTTGTTGCCTCAAATGCCTATTGGGACTCAAGCTCTCCACAAACCTGAAAT